TTCTGGAATCATGTTTTTCTTAATGTTTTGTGCACTTTGATGGGCAAACAAAGCCCAGAAGAAACTGGAAGTACTACTTAGAGTTCAGGAGATATGGAACTTTCCTTATGTGTAGGTTATGTTTTCAGGGACTGAGAGAGGCCAGAAATGTTGGACATAGGGATTTTCCACATGTGGTCAGAAGCATACTAAAAAAAAGGTAGCTCTGTCCAATTTTGTGTGATCCCCATTCCACAGATTCTCCTGAAATTATATAATTTAGGTGGGGGTATGTGGCACCCCAGAGGGGACCAGGAAGTCAACTTCTTCCATTTCCACCAAATGCACCAAAATCTGGATCCAATTCAGTGTCATATGTGAGTGTGTGCTAATAACATAATTATATGTGGAATTAAGGAGGAAATCTTTAATAAATTAAATTCTCAAATAATTCAAAGGGTCTGTTTTAAATTACAGATATTTGGCATGTCGTATAAAACAAAGAATTCCAGTCCAATCACATCCTGCTTTTAGCAAGTCTAAAACAACAAACACACTAGTCTTATTCAAAAGTTAATATTTGTATTAGTGGCAATTACATAAAGGTATGTTACTATTTCATAGTGTTCTATTAGATGATCAAACATATGCAGAATAAATAATGTAGAAGCAACATATTCTTTTTTTCTGCCCACCCAATTATTAATCAAACTGCATTTATCAAAAGGAAGTAAAGATATCAACCCAACTCATTATTTGAAAAGAACAAGGTAAACAATGGACTTTACACTCTTCCTGAACTAATCATATGCCTATAATAAGCCAATAAAGAACATAAATACTATTTCAACATACTTTTGAAAAAAATATTTAATTATGGTTAACTACAACTATTTTGGCATCCTTTGGCAAAGTATCTTCTGGCAAAATTGTTGCCATCCTATGGAAAAGTTCATGATGGTTGGAACAAACAAAAAATACAGCTGCTATATTGCCGAAACTCAGGATAGAGAGTTCAGAGAACTGAATTTTTTGAAGCTTATGCAACTTGAGCCACCCATCACTTTACTCTAACTAGAAATTCTTCAAACCCATATACCTCAAGTCATATTGGACAGCAAGGAATATAACAAATCTGTGAGTGATATTGCTCTGCAATGGCTGATGCACTTTTCCTCCACTCATTTCACATGGCATGAGGGCTTCTGAGTGGCTTTTCCAAATTACAGTGCAATCTTGACTCAAAATGTGCCAGTTCTAGAGAGTAAAGAATAGGAAGAAGCCTCTTCTGCTGGCAGAAATCCCCTTGTGCTGGCAGAACTGCCCTTGTGTTGTTGGAAGCACCTCTACTAGCTGATATCAGGCATCTGTTGACAGAAGGATCTTGTAGCAGAAATGTTCCACCAGAGAAAATCTTTTAGCAAAAAAGTCAAAAAGTGGTGGAGAGTGGGAAGAGTAAGGGACGACCTGAGTCATATCAGGTCCCAACCTCATTAACTCAGGGAGACAGTAATAAAATTGACACAGAATTAAACTACAATGAGGGGAGCCAAAAGAAATTTCCAGTAGCCCAAGGCTGGGAGGGACTTGGATTCAGCCAAGCTCCTGCTGACCTAGTATCTTTTCAGTTGGCCTAGTCAGAACAAGCCCTTCAGCCTAGTAAGATTGTATTGGTAGTCTTTTCCTTTCCTTTCCTTTTCTGTCTCCATCAGCCCCGGACTGTGCATCAAATCCACAGAGTGTGAAAAGTTTGGAGCTTAAAAACTTCTAACTATGCAGCGGACACAATTCAGAGACCTACAAAGCAGAATTAGCTTCCACTCTTCCCACAGTAGAACACATGTTGTTTGTTCTCATCAACTGACACTTAGTCTCAATAGCTCACTTTGAAACACTGGTAAGAGAAAGAATAAAAGAGTCTATTTACTCACAGTTTTGAATACATCAAAAACAGCATGTTGTAGAAAAATAAGGACTGATTACATGAACAGAGCTTAATTGATTCATAGTCCACTTGACTAACTACATGATAGACTACACTGACTGTATGATTCTAACTGATCACATAACATAAACTGAACACTGACTGGGCGGGGAAAGTGGGAAAGGAACTATTGAACAGAGAAATGTGGCTTTCTTCAAAATCTGAGGCAAAGAGAGAACAATTGGTTATTGCTGAGATTGATTGTTTGTCATCCAAGCCCAAAAGTCCCTCCCAGCTAAAACTTCTTAAAGGTAGCATATAAGGGCTGCTAAAGTCCAACAAAATCCATATTCAAACAAGAATCTGACTGCATAATCTTTGGTTACTCTTCCTCTCTTTCTTTGTCACTCAACCTATCTACCTTACCTGGTTGTTGTGAGAGTAACACAGACAGGGGAGGAAAATGGCTGTAAATGATATTCTGAGCCCCTTAGGAAAAGAAAGATGCATGCAATATAGCAGGGGCCAGTAGATTAAATCTCATTTGTTTAATTTCTTTACCCATAATATTCTGATCCCAAACTTTTGCAAAATCCCATTGAGACTACAAATATGCACAGCGTGTTATATATTTACAAGAAGGAAATTATGTTTACGAGAGGGAAATGCAATGTTCCTGCCCAAGAAGCACTGAATTTCTGCTAATTTGTACACTAGCTGGACCAGACACTCTTCAGGCTGTTACAGGCATCACTTCCACACCTTTTTAATGCTTAAAATTTTCTGTTATCGAGAGGTAAAATGTAGCTTTACGTGATGTGGGTTCATCTTTCTTTGGTAGTAGAATGTATTCCCTACTCTTAGTTCCATATACAATAAATCATAAGAAGTGACAGGTTCAAACAAATAGAATTTTTATTTAGGGACCGGAGGTAATAGATATGAAGGGAAAGCTAGGTTCTTGGATATAAGTGATAAGGGTTAAAACATCAGGTAAATATGTCTTCATAAACTCTAGCAATGACTACTGTACCTCCTTTCTTCAACTCTCTGCTCTAACTTAAAGATGTCTCCCTCTAGACAGTCACATCTCAACCTCCTACTATCTTTCAGACAGGAGACCAGTGGTTCCCAGCCTTGGGTAACCGAGGTGTTCTTGGACTGCAAGTCCCAGAAGCCCTCACTATCAGCTGTGCAGGCTGGGGTTTCTGGGGCTTGCAGTCCAAGAACACCTGGGTTACCCAAGGCTGGGAACCACTGCAGTAGACAAACTCCCCTCTAACAAGCTGACACTGTTCTCACATTCCATCATGCCAGCCAATCACCATCCGGCTACTCAACCACCAATCACTACAGGGCAGCCCATATCCATCAACAGGCATTCAGAACTGTTTATTTGCAAACCTTTTTTACACACATAAAACCATAAATTAAAGTAATGTTACCCAATAAGGTAATCGCCACAGGGGATGGTCAAATTATAGAAAGGTCTGTATATAAAACACGTTATAACTTCAATCATTACCACTTAATTAAAACTGATCAGAATTTGCAGAGTCCACATTGCACTCTCTGGTAAACCAAAATGCATTCATAGCTTGTCCTGTCTCAGGGTGCACAGCAATTATCTGGTCTTTATAGAGTTGTATTCACATGCGCAGCAGTCTCTCTAGTCACATTCCACTGCCTTTTTACCATTAGTTTATTTGTTTTTGCATTGTATGAACAAGTCCTCCCCACATTTTGAAAATAGTAGCTGTGTAAGACAAAAAATATATAGTTTTGCACTAGAGCCCTGCATATCTATTCCTATCTGTGCTGAAAATATACCCCTCAGTTACCTACGATTACTGGAGAGCAGCTTTACCAATGAATTTTTTTCTCACCTAAAGATAATTTACCAATAGCTGGAAATGTAATGGGGGAAATGAGGAATTATATCATCATTTATGAAGCGTTTATTGTGCCACACACCATTAGCCAGTGATTATCACACAGTCCTATATAAAGCAGTCCAACGAAACTTCAAGTCAGATCACACATTACAGTAAAAGTCGATTTCCTTCTCTCATAATGTTATCACTCCAAGAACACAAATCTTGCAGTTCTGCTTGCCTGAGACATAAAAACATTGAGGCGAAAAAAATTTTAAAAAATCATCTCCCAATTGGCCAATTACAAAACAAAAACAAGTTATTTTGCCGCAGGTTGATCGAGGCAAGCTCTTGCTAGCATAAATGACTCTTACAAAGCGCTTCTTCTAACGACTGTAGTTTGTCTCACAGGAGGTGTGAGAGCGCACCTCTTGCACTATGCCCTGAGCCGGCGGGCCAAAGCAGCAACCGGCGTACGAACAAACAACTGGCGGGCAGGTGTGAGGATGGGGCGGGCAGGTGAGTGTATTTGTGCGCGCGCCTCTCCTCTTTTGTGTGCGCGCGTGTCTGAGAGAGACCGAGAGGGGAAAGGATTACTATGGCGAATTGAGCTAGGTACAAAGCTCTCGCCTCACGAAGGGAGCAGCACCCCAAGCTGGCCGTTTCCCGCTTGGCACGAAACGCAAAAGGCAACGAGAAGAAGAAGGGCACGAAAGCAACCGCGCCCGCCCGCTCCGCCTCGCGGCTGTGGGCGCCTCCTTCTGTTCCCGGGCGAAGGGCGACAGCGCCCGCCCTCCTTCCCTCCCTCTCTCCCTCCCTGCCCGCTCGGTTGGCGCTCGCTTGCCCGCTCAGCGTAAACACACCCTCCGGCGCTTCTGGCCGCGGGGCGGCAAAGCCGCGCCGCGAGCTACGTCAGTGGGCGCGCGCAGTTTAGACTCCAGCTCTTTAAAAACGGCGGCGTAAACTGAGATGCTCCTGCAGAGAGAGCAGCGCGCCAGCAGTGGCTCGGGGTTACGGCGGCGGCGGCGGCAACAGGAGGCAACTTTGCGAAAGGCGACCCAGGGGCAGAAACTTCCGCCTCCTCCTGAGAAAAGGTGGACGGCAGCTGTGGTAGCATTCACACGCTCCGGCACCTTTCGTCTCCAAGTTTAGACTCTACGTATTGCACGAGAGCGCGTGACCCTCTACGCTAAAAAAAAACGTTTTTTTTCCCCCACAGAGAAACCCGCCGCTTCACACGCGCTCGGTTCGCTGCACAGGTTTCGTGAGGGGGCATGTCAGCCAGCAGCCCTCTCCACTTCTAGGAAAGCAGCTCGCGACTAGTCCTCTTCTCCGTTTGCAACCCCGCTTTCTCCTTCTCGCACCATGGACACCTCCGCGCTCTCCGCGGCCGCCCACGCGCTCCTTCTCCTCAGCTTCCTCGAGTTCAATGGGCTGCCTTCGGTTCTGGGTGGCGGAGGTCCGCTTGGGAAGCGCCAGAGGAGCTGCCCGGCCGCCTGTCACTGTGAACCGGACGGGATGCTCTTGAGGGTGGACTGCTCGGACCTGGGCCTCAGCGGCGTGCCCGCTAACCTCAGCGTGTTCACCTCTTACCTGTAAGTGCTTTTTGGCGCGGGGAGCCCGGGCTGCTTCTCTTTTTTTGCACCCGCAGACAAGGAAGTGCGGGAGGGGAAGGGGAAGGGGCGGAGAAGGAGGGAAGCGAGGAGCCCTTAGAAACAAGCAAAAACCACAACTATGCGGGCTTGACTTTTGGCGAGGTGACCATTCACCTCCAGTGTCAACACTGGGCACGTTCTCAGTGCGATCCGAAAACAAGGCAGGGTGATACCTTTATTGGCCTTGGATTTGGATTTTGTGCAAGATGATGTGACCCCAGGGTGTTTTGATTCCCCCTAGTCAGAGAGGGATCACTGCTATGGTGCCAGTAATTCGGAGTAAGTAAGGTTGTTGTTGTTGATGATGAAAGCCATAGCCACATCACATTAACCCAAACTGCTTAAAATAAGGACTATCCACCATCAAGCTAAGCAATAGACAAAGCCAAAACAGAATAGAACACTGGGAGAGGATCCTTGAGCTGTGTTTCTTTTTTTAAGCTTCCAAAAAAAGGTTGTTCTTTTTGAAAATGATGGTGTCTTTTCCCTGAATAGTGTTCAACAGTTGTTGTTTTTAAAATACATATGGGATGCATTGTGCAGATGTCAAGGGAAGTGTGCTGTGGGGCTGTTTGCTCTGTATGAGCAGAAAAATTCTGTGTGAATTAATGTATCCGTCTGTGGAGAGATGATATGGAATTAGCAAGGTAGTTCTGTACAAATTAGGGATCTCTTGACAGCTTTGTATCTCTCCATCCTGCTTCCACTGAAGGTGCAGAGATGGGGCATGCTGTCACCCATCGAAATTGGAGGAAGGAATAATACCCCATTGTGCAATGGCAGGGAAAACATTTCACCCTCATTAGACCACGGGCTGCTAGTACAATGTGACCTCCAAGTCATAAAAAGCTTTTGACCTGATGACTGCAGAACCAGTTTGACAAATATGATGACCTATTATAGGACTACAGCTCAAAGGATAATGGAGCTAGGGACTTTCACAAGATTTTAAGGATACAACTATTACTATTGTGATGAGTCATGACATAAAAGTATTTTAAACTCATTAGAATTCAGCATGATCTCCGTCAGAATTGTAAAATGCATTCCCTCAAACATGTTCTTTACTGTGTTCAATGAAATTATTGCAGAATAGGGTATTTGACTCCTGGGACATTGCAGGTCTCCAACATGTTTTACTTGTATTACTTGTTCATTCATTCTGTGTCATTTTTAGTAAGGGGACACTCTCTCCTGGTGAGGGAACCCAAGGCAGCTCATTTGTATAATACAGAAATCACACAAGACAGTATGGACTGCAGAGTTCGGTTGAAATATATATTTTAAGTTGGTGTTGATTGGTGGTGACAAAATTCCTGTTAGTTGAGAGAAAGATTAGATAACAGTAAACAATTGGTCATATTATGAGGCTCATTATGGTTTGATGCTATTAGCTTTATTTGATATTATATCTGTGTTCTGCTCTTTTGTGTAGCAACCATAATCAGAATGACAAATCTTTGATTGTTGACTAATCACTGTGAAATTAAACTGGTTATATTAGTACCTGATGCGTTGTCAAAACATAGTGGCCAAAATCCTATTGTTTACCATAGTAAATTGCATGAGAGTAGGCCCATGGAATAGTGGAGATTTAGTGAGTCAATTCCTCCATGTATTCCATTGATTTAAATGGGACTACTGCAACTGTGGCATGCTATACTACACTATGTTGTAGTTAGAGTAGGCCCACTTGAATCAGTGGAACTTATGGAGTTGACTCACCAAATCCCCATTGATTCATTGGTCCTTCTTTAGTATGAGTTATGATGCTAAGCAACAGAATTTTAGCTGGTAAATGGATGGCAAGGATTGTGGATACTATCCACAAGGATATATTGTATTATATCTACACATATGCAATTTTAATTTGTTTTAGTATAGAATTCTTCAGCAAAAATTATTTTATTATTGTTAATTGATACATATGTCAACAATGAGTTTAGAGAGCTTTGGTGTGGAAAAATACAGAAAACACTTTTAATAGGAATTAACCTGTAACCTGTAATCATCATGCATGCTTTGTGATACATGCATACACAGTAGAATTAATACCTTGCCTAAGGGGTCTATATACAGTATGGCAGTTTCCAAAAATCAGTCTTTAATCATCTCAGAATGGGATTTAAGCCATTTACATCATCACTGTGGTGTTATCCATTTTAAAAAAAACAAAGTAGGTTTAAAAAAATACTATATGATGTCTAGTCTACAAGCAATTAGAAATGAGGCAAGAGCATAAAGTTGATTAGACCTCCTTCATGTTGTCCTTATATTTGTTTCTCAGGGCAAGGCTTTGAACTGCAATATTTGATTTAATCTTTAACTGAGCTTTCTAGTTAGAGATAAAAAGATAAAATAGAGCAGATGCCCATTCAGCCTAGTACTGTACATGTTCCACAAACACCACTGGAAGACATGTGTCCCTAATCCAGGATTAGGTGATTTTGGACCTTCTACTCAAATCTGGAAAGAAAACTATAGGATGTAGATGCCCATGAGCAATGTGATGCAAAAATAGAGTACTGGAGTATGAAGTAATATTGAAAAATGTTAGCTGGGGGAATATGCATCTGATCTGTAGTTTTGTGTTATGTGTTATACCTATGGATGGTGGGTAACTAATGGGGGGGGAAGATGAATGGATAATACCACTTTCAATTATGTTGCTCTAACTTCAGCGGTCTCCAAGTGATATGTGAAGTGCATGAAAAGAAGATGCCCTAAGTGATTTTGTGCTTTCCTTTGCAATGGGACAGTCTTGGAACTATATAAAATATATATTGTATTTATGATTATAGCCATTAATTATGTCAAATATATCTTTGCTCTGTATTTATGTAGCAATTCTGTAACTGTAACTCAAATATTCTTTTTCTCTTCTGAAGAAATTACTCTTTGGTGGTGAACTCTACATTAAACAGAATAAAAGTTTGCTTTTTTAAAATAACTTTTGATACCTGGCAATATCCCTGAGACATTCGTGCAAACAGTTTCTTATTTTCTGTACAAAAAAAATGCAAATAAAGTAATTATTTCAGCATCAGTGATGGGTCAGCAGGCAAAAATGTCTTACTGCACTAAAACTGAGACAATTACATACATACATACATACAAACATACATACATACATACATACATACATACATACATACATACATACAATGCTGTTGTTTTTTCAGCTTATATACCATCCCATAGTACTAAAGCACTCTCTGGGTGCTTTGCAAAATAATTAAGCAAACAAGCTGGGTACTCATTTTACTGACATCAGAAGGATGAAAGTCTGAATCCATTAGGACTGAACTCAGGTCATGAGCAGACCTGACTGAAGTTTAACTACTGTGCCATAAGGCTGGAAGGCTAGTGACAAAATAAATCTGGACACAATAAGGTACAAGGTGTTCATACTTGAGTCCCCCTCAAACCCCTGGATGTGTGAGAATTGTTTTTGAACTAGCAAAAAGGGATGCTACAACACTCAAATTTTTACACATTGGCCAAAATCCCAAAAGACATAACTTTCATGGCAAATTGTCTTAATGTCTTCATAGACATTATCTTTATACACTGAGCCATGTAAGTCAGTATGATAACCATAGATAATACCTATGAAAATTTCTTAACTTACTGAAATTCACTGCTAAAAGTTAATGCATTTTGCACATTTGTGTTAGTGAAGTATATGCATTCCATTGGTATAGATTCAGACCAGACATCGTGGGCTAGAGGTTTGTTGTTGCACTCTTCAAATTTCACAAGAATCCTAATTTTAAAAAAAACCCAAACTCACCTAGAAATATATTCGCTTAATTCTTACAATGTCAGGATTGCTTCAGCATGAGCTGGACTTTAGTGACAGCTGCTGTTCTCTCTCTCTCTCTCTCTCTCTCTCTCTCTCTCTCTCTCTCAGCTTTAACAGTATTTTAGAACCTTGCTATCTATTTCTATAACTGTATTCATTATTACGCAAGGGAATTTTTTCTACTTTTGAGACAAGCATCTTGTTTTACTAGGGATTTTTTTTAACCAGGGGCATGTTTACATGCTCAGGAACTACCGTGTTTCCCCCAAAATAAGACAGGGTTTTATATTATTTTTTCCTTCAAAAAAACGCATTAGGGCTTATTTTATTTTATTTATTTATTTATTTATTTATTTATTTATTTATTTATTTATTTAATACCCCACCACTCTGTTGTCAAGGGATGTCTTATTTTTTTCATGTACAACAATCTACATTTATTCAAAAACAGTCATGCCATCTTCTTCTGGTTGCTGCACAATGCTGCACAATGCTGGAGGGCAGGCTTTCGCTTAACTGAGGCTTGTTTTTGGGGTAGGGCTTATATTATGAGCATCCTGAAAAATCATACGAGGGTTTATTTTCAGGTTAGGTCTTTATTTTTGGGAAACAGTTTAAACCCTAGATAGTGAAATAGTTCACGAAGGATAATAGGAGTCACAATGCAACAATATCTGGAGGGCAACTTCCGACCTTTTGGCTAATTTCGGTGGGATTTACTCCCTAATAGATTTGATAGGATTGTACTGATTACACAGCTTTAACCAGTGTTAGTATTGTTAATGATAGCACTAAAACAGACTGATAGGTAGGACTGACTTGTGGAAACTAGAGGATGGTGAAATGGTAGATGAACTGTGCCTCTTAATTCTTAAAAGTAGCTTTCTAGTAATTTGTCTGTGTAATAAACAGAACACTGCTTCTGAAATGTGTTTATTTTCTTTTGAAGAATTCTGATGAAGTTCATGTCACTGATGTCTGGAAATATGGTATAGGATAGAATAACTGCATGAATTCAGTCATTTAGTGCAATATGTCCATGATCCAGTGACACCACCCTTCACATTGTTGTCTTTTGATTTCAAAACTAATTTGCCTAATAATACGTTACCATATTCTTCCTTACTTATGACTA